TAAGTTTTTATGTGACATAGACAATCCCTAGATCTCTCATGCCCAGAAGGAAGGGATTTGAATGTTATCATTGTGTGTGTAATGCCCTTGGGGTTTCCAGTGAGCAGAAAGCTCAATGTATTATAGAATAGTCAAATCTATAATTATGTAACTATGATTATTATAATGTCCTTAAATCTGCTGAGGCAATGTAGATAGATCATTCTGTAATATTTACTGACTGGTTCTAGTTGAGTTTCCTAAATCCCCAAAGAGTATGCAAATATAGAGAAGTTACCTAAAGTATTAAAGGGTGATAGCCCCTGACTTTCTCAGAGATGGTCCTATCCCAAGAGATGTGAATTCTCATCCTCCAGCCTCTCCAGATTGTTCTGTGTTGGTCTCTACACTGTGTGATTTTTCTCCTTCCTTCCTTCCTTCCTTCCTTCCTTCCATCCTTCCTTCCTTCCTCCTTATTTTTTGAGACAGGATCTCTATGTAGCTCTGGCTGACCTGGATCTCTGTAGACCAGGCTGGTCTTGAACTTACAGAGATCTACCTGCCTCTGCCTCCTGAGTGCTGGGGTTAAAGGCCTGTCCCACCACTGCCTGGCTCTGTGATTTTCTTAGTGCTCGAGGTTTTCCAATATCACCAGAGTGGTTTGTCCAGGGTAGAACTCACCTTACACTAGTGTACACACTTGTTCTAGAGTGTACACTTTTCCAGGTGGGCTGATTAGCATTTCTTTGTATCTAGAGTGTGTGGAATACAAAATGAAGATGAGATACTGTGAAGTATCCATGAGAGATCTGTTCTCAACTCTCAGATTTTCCTATTATTTCACTCCTTGTTTCTCAGGCAGGAATTCCTTTAGTGAGAGCTAATGATAGATTGCTGTTAACATTTTGTCTTGGCTTGCGTGCAGTTCTTTTTCTCATGATTGGCACTCCTGAGACAAAGGTTAACAAGAGCGAATCATAGCTGATATATTTAATCAAAACTTGTATCATATGAAGGTTTCAGAAATGTAGACCCCAAACCCCAGGGGAGACCTTTGTGCTCACAAGTGAAACAGAATGGACAGCAGTGTGGAGGCCATTACTTAGTGGAGACCCAGCCAGGTGTGCAGGTGTTTCTTGGTCTTTCTGTGTGCTTTCCTTGAACTTTGGGAGTGAGGCAGGACTTATATACTGGGAGGGAGATGACTTTTCTAGCTTGGCTGCAGGAAGGAGCAGAGAGATGGGAAAGAACAGAGAGGTCATGCTTCTCAGTCCTGCTGATACTCAGTGTTCCGAGATGCAGCACTCTTGACCTGCATGTGATTCTCAGATGCTAACCAGGCTAGCCTCACACCCCTCTACATAAACACTGAATCTCTTTGGCACACTGTAACTGAGCTCCCCTGTTTGCAGCAAGGAAATATTTCATGTTCTCACTGGCATTCTTTTCTTTAGGATTTGTCTCCCCCACCCCTTGGATGCTTTTACTACCCCTTATTTTTAGGTTTGTTCTTTTGATGTGATGTCTCCATTAACTTTCTTAACAATCAGGTTTGTGTTTGGGAGTTTTCAGTATAAGGTCCATCCCTTCCCATCCTACTTGGACACCGACTCTTCTTCTCTCATCTCCCCCCCTGGGTCTTAGTTGTAGGTCCCTGGACCCCATCATAAAGCTCATAACTGCTCCTGTATTCTGTGTTTTGTTTCTCTGCACTATGTTCTGTGTCTTCTCTAGACACACTTCCATTCCCTTTTTATCCCTTTGTCTTTATCTTGTCTGTAGTTAACTGTCGGTCATACTTAATATTTTTCACTGAAGAAGTTATAGAGGTTCCACTTGTATCATTTTGCCAGGTCTAGCACAGCTCCTGGAAACCTTACTGGGACAATGAGAGGTTGAAGAAAGAATAGACACCCAGACAAATGAACAGAAAAGCTGGGGTCATGTGGGCCATGCTCATACTGATGGACTGAAACAGCCTTCAACCTCAGCTAGTTTACTGAGTGCAGAACAGGGAGGAGTCAGTCTTCAGGGAGGAGGTCAGAAGGATGGAGGGAGGAGGCACTGAAGTTGCTACTTCTTGTACACATTGGTCAGTCTTCTGAAACACTCAACACCAGAGGAAGGCTTTCCATCCCAAGCCTCATCCAGGGAAGGCTTTGCACTTCCTATGGGCTGATGCATTGTGTCCTTAACATTGCCATGCCCAAGTCATCAGCACTCCTTCATGGGGACTTCACCTACCCTGTACACATCCATTTCCCAAATCATTTGAAGACCAGTTTGATAAGTTTTGACCATCATTATCCTAGTTAAGCTTTTACTAACCTCACATTTATTAAGCATCCTTATTTTGTATTTGATTATTTCTAGGTATCCAGGTCTTAAACAGTTGTTTTGAGCCGGGCATTGGTGGCATACGCCTTTAATCCCAGCACTCAGAGGCAGAGGCGGGCGGATCTCTGTGAGTTTGAGGCCAGCCTGGTCTCCAGAGCAAGTGCCAGGATAGGTTCCAAAGCTACAGAGAAACCCTGTCTCGAAAAAACAAAAACAAAAACAAAAAAACAGTTGTTTTGATCTTGGCCCTGGCCAAGGGTGGTTTGTTTCATTATATTCTTAAGCCATGACCATATTACTTCTTAAAACTATGAGAATTCTGGGAAGCCTCATTTTACTTTGACTAGGGCAGCATAGGATCCCCTGTAGTGAAAATTTAATCATAGAATATTTTGTTTGTATGAACAATATGAATTCTGGCCACAAATTTTTACCTCGGTAGCTTTATGATCAGGGGTTTTAGGGAGGTTTTCTTTTCTCCCTCCTTCTGTATTGAGGAATCAGGACAGTATGTGTAAATATCTCCACCATTTATGTGTGATTTATTTTTATTTTTCTTCTTCTCCCATATTCACTGAGTGTATTGTTTTCAGGCTGTGCTGGCTCTCTGCAAGGTTACTGTCTTACTTTGCATCAGTGCCACCCTCTGTCTTTAAACCCCATCAGGCTGGAGAATAGCTTTTCTTCCTTTCTGCCCTTCAGGATGTCTTAGCTATGTATTTGGCATATTATTTAAGTGAACCTTGAACTAGCCTTTTAGATACTGTATACTATAGTTCTCTACAAATGTGTGGTCTGCTGCGTGACTGAAATGGCAGTCTTGGTTTGGAAAGGGGTTCAGTGGTTAAGACCACTTGCTGCTCAGTCAGGAGAACAAGATTTTGCATCCTAGCACCTATATGGGTAGCTTCCAAATGCCTGTAACTGCATTTTGAGAGATTTGACACACGTGTATATACTCATATACACACACCCTCTTCTGGCCTCTGTGGGCACTCACATGTGTGTATGTACTTACACACACACATGTAAGAGTGGCTCATTGTTTACTGTTCTTGTGTCAGAGGTGAAGACATAGGAGAATTAGGAACCATTGTTATAGCAATTAAGCAAAAGGTCTTTCTCTGGAGTTGCACTTACCTTGAGGTGACCACGTGTCCTGTAGTTGAAGACACTGAGTCTGAAGCTGGGTTGAGAGTTAGCTAACATCTGCAAATGGGAAGAAGCAGTAAGTGTGAAGGTGTGAGGGTGGCTTGCACATCCTAGTGTTTGTGAGTAGGGCCTATCTGTGCAACTCTGACTCAGATGTGTCAGCATTCTGGCTGTCTCACCATCTCACCCTTACTCCCGACTTCTTACACCAGGCTGCCTGGTATTTAAGGCAGCAGGGTGCTGATGAAGGTTTTCACTGATTGTCAGGGTGATTTTGTGCTTTCCTGAAGTCTGTAGTGTGCTGCCAGGCTGCTTGGTCTCATGTCCCTGTCCTCTCGCTCGCTAGCTTGTATGTCGTATTATGTGTTTAGCCCAGGTTAGCCTCAATCTTGTGTCCTTCTGAGTGCTGGGATCCCACACTGTTTTGTTCTGTTCTCTTTTGAGAGAATGTCTCACTGTCTAGCCTGGACCTCACTCTGTAGATCAGGCCATTTTTGAATTTGCAGTTATTCTTCTGTTCCCTAAGAGTTGAGAATACAGGCATGTGCCATGATACCTGGTCCCAGATTGCTTTTTAACTTTTAGAAGTAATATTTCAGGGTATGGTAGAATATACCTTTATGGTGGTGCATAACCTGGGAGGTAGAGGAGGGCAGATCTCTGAGTTTAAAGCCAATTCCAGCCCAGTTAGGGCTTCATAGGAGATCTTGCCTCAAAAACAAACAAAGAAAAACCCAAAATGTGCTGTATGATGTATGTGTTAGGGGAGACAAATAATAGAGAAGTAAATAAAATTCCTTTGATAATGGTTTGCTGTATAGATCTATGTTCATCTTGAAAATCATTCTGATCTATGCTTAATTTAGCATTTTATAATTTCTGCTACAATATTGACTCACTTTCTTTGAAATCCACACTAGGTACGTATGTACTATTTTACTAATGCCTCATAAGTGGACTTACAGATGTCTATCTCCTCTTTGGTGCTGCAGCCACCTTTGGGTATGGCTGGTGTTCACTGGCAAAGTGGAGCTGTTAGTGACGTTTTGCAGCAGGTCTCTAGTATAATGTTGTCAGGCCTTTGCGGTCCCTTCTTAAGAGGGAAACGTTGACTCAACTTCCATATATCCCCTTTCCCCCTCTCCTGCCCTCCTTCTTTCTCACTCCCCTTCCCATCTTTGATTTCATGATGTGCTCAGGCTCCTGGGCCTTTGGGCTCCTGCCTTAGCATCCCAAGTACAAGCAGATGCATGCCCTATATCCCACTATTCTGTGTGGTTCTTTAGTCTGATGGTGTCTATGCTTTACTGTAAAGAAACAGTTGTGTTCTGCATCTTATGTAGTGTACTGCTGAGCATTGTAAAACTGGTAAGTATGTTACAAAATGGAGATGTGGAGGCTAAGCAGTGTTTTACAACTGACTGTGAGAGGGCATGGAACAGGCAGGTATTGGGATTTTTCTTTCTATGGTACTTTTGAAGGAGGTTAAGGTTGGATTTTTGAGTTACATAATTTGTCTTTCACCTTTGTAGCCTCCACCAGGCAGTGTGAAAATGCCTAATGTACCCAACACTCAGCCAGCAATAATGAAGCCAACAGAGGAACATCCAGCTTACCCACAGATCACAAAGGTTAGTGCATGTTAACTGTGTAAATTGATGCTGGAAGTTCATATATTGTCTCGGTGTACAGTTTATATAGCAAATTTTATTGCCTTTGGTTTCAATGCCTAATACCACTACAGTAACAATAATAGAATAATAAAAATGACTGGGAGGGAGCTTAATGACTACTCAGGGGGCTGTATGAGGAAGTAGGAGATGGCAAATGTCCAGGATAACCAACAAATGCCTGGCAGCTCTAACAGAGTTAGAGGGCAGAGTGTCGTAAGCACATACCTGTCCCCTAGCATCTTAGGACATTTATGATGTTTTGAACTATTCTTATGTTTCCAGAGCCTACTGCACCATTTGACTTGTTTATCAAGCTAATTCAGTTGTCCTTTATTCTGTTCATCTTTCCTCAACTGTCCCCTCACCTCCACACACTCTTTCTCATCTAGGCTCAGGGTTACCTAGACTTTTGCTACTGTTTGTAAAAGATTGATTTTATTGTTTTCAATGACATGTACTGTGTGTCTGTGTGTAGATGTGTGTACATGAGTGCAGGTACCTTTTGAGGCTAGAGTTACAGAGCCACATGAAGTGGGTGCTGGGAACTGAAACTGGGTCCTCTGCAGGAACAGCCCACATGCTCTTAATTGCTGAGCCATCTCTCTATTCCCCAGTCTCTGGCTGTTCTTACAAAAGGCAGGTTTTTGTTTGTTTTCCTGTCCTGTGGATTCAGCATTGTCTCTGAGGGCTTACATAACTAAAAGAGCAAAATGAATCAAAAATTTCTCAAAACTATAGCCTTCAATGAATTCCTGTATTTTGAAAGTGCATTTAACTGAGGTTTCTCTTATGGTAAAGATGAGAGTGGGCATGTAAATGTTAGACTGTTTTGGCTGTCTGATAACCTGTGTGTGTTGGTCATTTTGTTTAGGAACATGCCTTGGCTCAAGCTGAACTTCTCAAGCGCCAAGAAGAGCTAGAGAGAAAAGCTGCAGAGTTAGACCGCCGAGAACGGGAGATGCAGAGCCTGAGTCAGCATGGTAGTATCCAAAGCGTCGACATGAAAATGTCTGTCCTTGCTCTGAGCCACTAGGTCTGGTGATAACCCTCTGCCCTGTCTTCTGATTCTAGCAAGGAGGTCAGACACAGCAGATTGCACACTTGATACCTGCAGCTTGGTGATCTTGGCGGATAGCACAGGCCTTTTGATAAATTAGACGAGTGTTGGCTTCCTCACAGAGAAAGTGAGACTCGGATTTGATACAGTTGTTTCCTTCCAAACCAGGGGCCTTTGATTCTTCTGTACTTGGCTCTCGAACCTTTCTTTCTTTCTTTCTTTGAAAAAGAGCTGGGACATAAAAGAAAGATCTCAGTGTAGCCTTAAGCCTGAGGGATAAGCGAAAGAGAGGCCCTCAGAAGAAAGGAAGGTCACCTCAGAGCATGGGTGTGGGCTTCTCAATAGTTCCATTGAACATTGAGTGTATTGAGTGTGCCCCACCTTGGACTCTGAGGAGACAGGTTGAAGATAAACAGCAGGTCACCCTTCTCTTTATGAAAAAATATCCAGATAGGTAAAAATATGTATAATTGAATGTTAAAAGTTACATGATATTTTTAGTATTAGGAAGTGACTTAGTTGTTATTTTTTTTTATTTGTATTTTTGTCTGAATTTGTGCTTTATGCTCAAATTTTGTTCCTGCCTCCATTTCCCAGGTCTTGTTGTCAGTCTTTGTTTATGCAGACACATTACCTCTTCACACCTCAGTTTTCTCTGGTTTCCAGGATGCTGGAGTCCCCATTCATTCACACAAACCTGATTCTTTGGTCTGTATTGTTGAGAACCCTGCCTACTCTCTGCATGTCAGTTAGGAACTTAGCAGAATTCTACTGATAGACTGGTGACACTGAGGAGAAAACAAGCTTAAGAATCAGATGGCCTTCCTGCAATAGCCAGGCCCTGGGACTTTGAAATAAATCTGTTTTAGACAACTCTTAAGGTTTGCCACTGGGTTCTTCTGTACATAGACATGCTAAACATGGTATAATTTGACATTGGAAAATTATTTTATCATTTATTGTTTCTAAAACGCTAGTCTGAAAAAAAATTTAAAATGTAAGCTTGGCTTTCAAAGTTTTAAGAGTGTAGAGAAGGGGAGCATTTAGTGTTAGTGTTTGTATGACGTCTACCACCACAACCAAAATAAGAATATGATGTATTTGTTGCAATAACTTTTTTTAACTTGCAGGGAGAAAAAATAATTGGCCACCTCTTCCTAGCAATTTTCCTGTGGGACCTTGTTTCTATCAAGATTTTTCTGTAGACATTCCTGTAGAATTCCAAAAGACAGTAAAGCTTATGTACTACTTATGGATGTGTGAGTATAGAACAAATTATATTTATATTTATGTTTATATATATGCATTTTGAGTTCATATTTTCTTTATAGATATCTTTTTGAAAGTGATATACTTTATGCATGCTAAATGTCTTTTCATATAGATCTTAATAGTCATGGCTTCAGAGTTGAACGTCATACTTAGATAGAAAAATTGTGTAATAGATAGCAGTTTAAGTCTTTGGCTGAAGGAAGCTAGCACTGACTGACTGAAAAGGTGTTCTGTCTGTCACATGGGTAGGACTTTGTAAAAACTCCTCCTTAGAAGAATGTTATCTGGACATGACTTGTTTTGGCAAAATTATGCATACTATTTTTATGCTAAGGAGTATCACTTAGATTCTGTTAAATGTAGCACTATGGCTGTTTTTAGAAAGAGGAAATACTGCAATGAGAACTTTAAAAATCACTTGAGGCACAATGTACTTTTCATCTCCAAGTGGCTGTGAACACTTTATTCTTGAAATTGCCGAATATAGGAAAGTTTCATTAAACAACATTAGAGTGCATTTTCAGTTGGGATACACATGATGTTTTAAGTATAATCCCAACTCTGAAATACTAAATGAATGTCAAGCTACTAAAGGTTCTTTGTGTGTCCACAGACTTCCCCTCACTCTCTGATTTGTATTCCACATAGTCTCAGCCCTGTTTGTTACCATGCTGTCAGGAGGGAGGGTTGGGCAGATGCGTCAGTAGGTAATTTGTAGACACATTTTCCCAAGAGTTGTGTGAGTTCATTCTTCATATCGGCATATGAGAAGCAGGTCTTTATGGACATTACTTTTGTCATAGTTAAAGGAGAACATTTGCTCTCATAGTCAAAAAATTATAGTAGTAAATTATAGTGGTAATTTTTTTTAGACAGGGTCTCTTTATATAGGCCTGGCTATCCAGGAGTTCACTTCATAGATCACACTGGCCTTGAATTCAGAGATCCACCTGTGTCTGCCTCCCGAGTTGCAGGATTAAAGGTGTGTGCCACCACACCTAGCTGGCTATTACTTTCAGACTCTTAGTTTCTTGTTGAGATTTGGCCTTGCTGTCAGTAATATTATATATGTTTGATGCTTAAGGTATAATTCTATATTTGTGCATGTTAGTCAATTTCTGTGTTTTAACTAATATATTTCTGTCATATATGTATTTGTAATTATATATGAATTTTAAAAATAGACAGTATTTTAGGCATAAGTTATTTAACTTAAATCTTTTTATGGCAAAGTGATAGAAAGAATTTAGTAAATGGAGGTTGGATAGGAAAGATGATTAATTTTAACTTGTTAACTACTAATGCTGATGATTTCAAAATTGATTTGGTTTAAAGAGTCTCTCAGAAGTAATGCAGTTAATTACAGTTCTTCTCAATCTTGTCTAGTTTGCGGATCTGTTTAGAAAAAGGACTCAAGACCCTAGTTGGGGTTCTCTTTGGAGGCAGCATTGCTTGCAGTGACATGCGAGCAGTTCAGGGATTTGCCCATGCTTAGAGTAGATACTGCTTTAGTCGGGCACTTTCCAAAGTGTGGAGCTGGTGTGGATTTCAGGGCTGACTGCAGGTTTGTGCTCAGTCATAGTGAGAGCTCACATTTGTTAGAGATTGACTTTGTGACTTTGTGTCAGGCAGTCGATAGTCCCAAGTACATCTTCAAAATCAGGTACTACATTCCTTAGTCCTAGAGAAACTAAACCTTTGTCTAACTTGTCCAGCATTATACAGGAAGTCATTATGTGGCAAGCTATTCCGGTAACTTGGCTCTCAAACCCAGGTTAGATTCCATGGTATGCCATCTACAAGATACCAAGATGAAAAAGTGATTAATGTTTTAACGAATATGATGAAGATGTGTTTTCAAAGGTCACTAAATGGAAGCAGGAAGCAGATAGTATAACTTGCAAATGAACCAAAGCAATTAAAATTATTACTTGTGAAGTGAATTTTGCCTTTTTTTTTTTTTTTTTTTCAAGACAGGGTTCCTCTGTGTAGCCCTGGCTATCCTGGAACTCTCTTTGTAGACCAGGCTGGCCCCTAACTCACAGGAGATCTGCCTGCCACTGCCTCCCATGTGCTGGGATTAAAGGTGTGCACCACCGCCGCCCATCGAACCTTGACCCTTTTGAAAGTCCTTTTTGAATTAAAAAAAAAAAAAAAAAGGCATGGGCACCAGGTAGCAGAGGAGATGTGTGCACCTGTAGCCATCTGTTTTGGGAATCACATGGCACCGGCAGCTGCAAATTCAGGCCAGCTGATAACAAGCAGATAAAGCTTTCATACAAAAAGGTGTTAACTCATCTTGCAAATCGTGTGAACAAAGTGGCTTAAAAGTCTGTTCAGTGTTTGTCCTGTTTTCAGCATCCACCAACATAGACACTGAATTAAGAGCACAGAGGGCGGCACACATAGCCCTTGCCTGCATTCTGGCCCCTGCACAGGTGGACAGCTTCATCACCAGGTACCCTAGACAGGCTGCTTTTTATTGAGTGTGAGATGAGGACTCACTGATCATAGTTACTCTAATAAAAACATCTAGAAAAAGAAATCTAACACATAAAGTTAGATTGATATTTTCTGTACTCTGAAGAATTTTTACGGATTTTAAAACATTTATATCTACATATAAATGATCTTTGTTTTCTTGTGAAGATTGAAATTTAAGTTAGAATGTGCTGACATTAACACACACACACACACACACACACACACACAGAGCAAATTTAAGACAACCAGACGTTCTAAAGGAATAAAATAATTTCCCATTTCATAGGAGTTTTTGTTCTGTTTTTAAGTCCTTAGATCTTTATTTTGAGGAAAAGGGTTTTGAGTCATTTCACTATTCAGCCAGCTTTCCTGAGGATTAATCCCCAGTAGTAATTGAGCAATTAGTAGTTTCTCTTCTGTGATAGAGATGGATTTAAAAATAAAAGCCCTTTAAGGCTACTACAGATTTCCTTTCAGGCACTGGAGCTGTTTCTTCATAGTTGATTGATTTAATGTTTAGTCGTGGACACATCAGGCCACCCAGAAGGAGTGGTTTTATCCTGCTCCATAAATTTTTTATTTTGATTTGTAAAGAGATTTTAAAATTAGTTTTTAATGTATATTGAGTTTGTAGTAGATTTAATAATCTTTTAATTAATTTTTTAAATCTAAGTCATAGTTGGTTGACATTTTTATTGATAATATACATTTTGCAGTATTTTAATTTTATGGTATTTCTCATAATGAAATTCTACCCATGAATAAATTTTTACAGAATCACTTTAAAAAGTTGAAACTGTAGGGGGTCTGGAGAGACGGCTCAGGGGTTAGGAGCCTTGCTGCTCTTGTAGAGGACCCAGGACTGGTTCTCAGCACCCACATGTTGGCTCACAACATCTCCATCTCCAGTTCAGTGTCCTCTGTGGCTTCCAGAGGCCCTGCACACACGGTGCATATATATGCATGCATGCAGACGTCCAAATGCCTAAAATAAAAATAAATGTAAACGAAAGTTAGAATGGTAAGCATGGTTCTTTCTGATCATAGAATTGTTACTCAGATCTGGGATTTTCGATTTGTTAGGGGAGGGCATCATGCCATAGCATACAGAAGTCCGGCTGGTGTGAGGTCATCGTGTTGACGGGTTTGTTGA